CACCTGCTGTGCTCCGGCGATCCTTCCGCCTCAACCTTCCGCGTAGCGGGAATTAAAGGTGTGCGCTATCACGCCCGGCTAATTTTTTTTTTAATTTATTGTCGAGATGAGGTCTCACCAAGTTGCCCAGGCAGGTCTCGAACCCATGGGCTCAGGCAATCCACTCACCTCAGCCTCCCAAGGCGCGGGATTACGGGCTGAGCCTCCGAGCCCGGCCTGAAGTATTTTTTTTCCTTTTTTTTTTTTTAAGTCGGAGTCTCACTGTCGCCCAGGCTGGAGAGCAGTGGCATGCTCTCAGTCACCACAGCCTCGAGCTGGTGGACTCAGGCAATCTTTCCACCTCAGCCTTCCAAGTAGCTGGAACTATAGGTGCCAGACACTACACTCAGCTAATTTTTAAATTTATTGTAGCGATGAGGTCTTGCCAGGTTGCGCAGGCTGGTCTCGAGCCCTGGGCTCAGATAATCCTCTCGCCTTGGCCTCCCAAAGTGCTGGGATTACAGGTATGAGCCACCACGCCCGGTTGATAATGAAGTATTTTCAAGAAATAAATACCAAATAGAAAATATTCTTCTCATAGCCAGAACAATCCTCAGCAAAAAAAACACAAAGCAGGTGGTATCACATTACCAGACTTCAAACTTTACTATAAAGCAACAATCATCAAAACAGCTTGGTATTGGTACAGGAACAGGCATATAGATCAATGGAATAGAATTGAGATCCCAGAAGCAAAACCTCAATTTCTCAACCAACTCATCTTTGACAAAGCCCCCACCACCTACCACTGGGGAGAGGAGAACCTATTCAGTAAATGGTGCTGGGAAAACTGGCTGACCACATGCAGAAGATTGAAACAGGACCCCTATCTATCCCCATGAACAAAGGTTAATTCCAAATGGATCAGAGACCTTAATGTAAAACCTCAAACCATAAGAACCTTAGAAAATGAAGGAAATACCCTCATGGAAATCGGAACTGGCATCCAATTCCTGAACAAAACCCGAAACCCACATGTCAAAAGAGAGAAGATAGACAAGTGGGACCTTATTAAACTGACAAGCTTCTGCAAAGCCAAAGAAGCCATCAAGAGAGCAGGGAGACAGCCTACAGACTGGGAAAAAGTATTTGCCAACACCAGGTCTGACAAAGGCTTAACATCCTGGATCTACAAGGAACTCAAATGTGCTGAAAAGAAAAAAAACAACCCCATTATAAAATGGGCAAAAGATATGAACAGACACTTCACAAAGGAAGACATCCAAGCAGCCAACAGACACATGAAGAAATGTTCAACTTCACTAATCATCAGGGAGATGCAAATCAAAACCACACTGAGATACCACCTAACTCCAGTCAGAATGGCAATTATCAACAACTCAAAAAATAACAGCTGCTGGAGAGGGTGTGGTGAAAAGGGAACACTTCTACACTG